TACCATTAACTTTGCAATAAGTACATGTCATTAACTCAGTAAAAGTAAGCTCAGTCTTCCAGGTAGCAAAGGTGCAAGGGCATTCTTTAAGCAGAACCTTATTTCATTTCAATAAATTTAGCCTCCATGGTTTTCACATTTCTTAATTAGGGAAGCACAGGAACTCCTGTGGCTGAGTCTGTGATCAGAATGAACCTCACTGTGGATAGTCCAGACTATTTTCCAATAAAAGTTTAAGGCCCCTGAGTTCCAGATTTCTGGGATGACTAGCCAAGGCCAAGTAAGGAAATACCTCTCTATTCTTGCACCAGAACGCATGCAAGGCTCCATCTCAGCAAGATCTAACTCCTGAAGATATGACCATGAGAAGATGTAGTTTAGTGCCTATCCTAGTTCTGAGAGGGAAAAGGAAGTAGGAAACAAATATCGAGACCCAAGATTCCTGAGGTGAGGTGAGCATTCTCCATTCAGAATTCATTTCATCCTCACAACACTAGCACATAAAATATTACAAGAGGTTGAGCACTTCTAATCCAAAAATTCTAATCCCAAACTTCTTGAACCCTAAACATGATGCCACAAGTGGAAAATTCCACACCTGATTCTCATGCAATAAAAGTTGTAGTCAAAATATGGACCCACTAAGAATATTGTATAAAATGACCTTCAGGACATGTGTATAAAATATATGTGAAACATAAATTTTGTGTTTAGACGTGGGTTCCATTCCCAAGATATCTTATTGTATATTTATTTTGTATATTCCAAAATTTTACAAAATACAAAATCTGAAACATTTGTTTCCATGTATTATACATAAGGTATACTCAACCTGCATTCCCATTTTACAGATAGACTGAAACTCAGAGAAGTCTGTAAACAGCCCTACTACACTGGATTAGACACAAACCCACTTCTGGTTCCCAGAACTTACATGTATAAAGCACACACTTGGGAAATTATCATGGATTTACCAAAGGACTTCCAGTAACTTGAGAATCAAGATGGTTTCCTCAACTTCTTATTATGGAAAATTTCAAACATATATGAAAGGGAAAGAGTGATCAAATAAATTTCCACTTACTCCTTACCCTGCTTCACCAGCAATCAAATCAAGGCCACACTTGTTCCACAACCATCCCCTACCACATGATTATTTTAATGCAAAGAGAAATCATGTTTTTATTCATAAATGCATCAATGTGCATCATTTCACGGAACCACATCATTATCATCCCTTTAAAATTTAGCAATGTTCCCTTAATATCATCAAATACTAAGTTGATGTTCAAATTTCCCTAATTGTCTCATAATTTCTCTTTAATAGTTGCTTTGTTTCAATCAGAGATGCTCTTCTTGATCCAACTGAGCATCCAAAGAGGTTGTTCACTAATCAGCATCCACTAAGGCTTTATGTCTGTTCCTGTTTATATCCATGCTGGCCTTTCAATCATGTCACTGAGCTTCTTTTGTTCCTTAGGCACACACTGAACTGGGTACTCAAGGACTTTCCAACTGGCCCCTCAATAGAATATTAACATGTGGCAGATCCCCAGCTCTGGACAACCTGGGTATTTGACCCTTGTCCTTATGCACACCATAAACTGACCTTGGTCATATTCTCTCACATTGCAGCCTTGTTTTGCACTGCTACGTGATGAGGGATTGGAAACAGGACCTCTAACTTTGGTCTCACTTTCTCTGGTCTACTGGAGCCATATTTGCTGATTGGCACAACTGGGGCCCCACCATCCTTGTTAACATCTTGTCCTTGCCCTTCGATGGCCAGCTTTTCCCAAGCAGACCTAGTGCCTTCCTTGTCCCATACCCACAACACCTAATCTAGAAGGCTGATAGGCTAAATAAGGTCCCCTTTACTTTCTCATCAGAGAACCAAATCCTTCCCTTACAAATGAGCCTACTATCTTTCCTCCTATTCCCTAGGAACCCTGTTAGTGGTCAAATCCAGTGTGCCTCATGGCTTGGCTTCTTAGAACCCTTAAATACCTCTAAAACTTTATCAGGCGTGCATTTATTTGAATGGGTATTAGAAGAAAAATAAGCTTATTTTAACAAATTCAGAATTCTATGAATATTATTAAGAGGCACTAAAATAAAGCAGCATCATTTCTTTTTCTGAAAATGAGAAACTTTAAGGGAAAAAAATGCAAGTCTGTTCAGATATGACAGAATTCAGGCTTAAACTTTGGAGAAACATTGAGTCAAAGCAAATTCATTCTTTCCTGTGTTTTTTTCTCCAATTCCAATCAAAGCTAGCTGGAATTCTTCCTCCAAGCGGAGCTCTTTCTTGGTCTTTTGAAAATTCCTCACCTTAATCATACTCCCACTTAGAATGCTATTTCATCAACTCTTCTCCACATTGTTGATTAACATTAAAGTTGGTATCTACTGTGTACCCAGCTCACAGGTGTTGA